TCTCTCTCTCTCTCTCTCTCTCTCTCTCTCTCCCGTCCTCGTTCCAGCTTCCTCTCCCTCGCCATCTCTCTCTTTCTATCACTTTCCTTTCTCCTCTTCCTCTTCCTCTTCCTCCCTCCCTTACTGCAACTCACTCATCCCGTTCTCGATCGACCCACCTGTTGAGTTCCGGCGAGACTCGTTCCCTCCGCTGCCGGCGCTACCACGACATACCTTTTTCGCTTCCTATCTCAGCATCGAAACCAACCCCTAGTCGAATAGTAGTTCAATCCGACCATGAAACATCTACCTTTCGATCCTGCTACCTTTCTCTTCTTCTTCTCCTTCTTCTTCGCATATATTTTCGTATCTTTGCATCTCCGCTACCGTGTACATTTCTCGGAGTTTGCAAACAAGTTTCGCGATACGTGGCAGGTTTCTTCGATCGAAATCCTTGGTTAATCACGTTCGCGCGTGAAACGGATCGCTGAATCGCGATTTTACCGAGACGAATGACACGCTTGTACAGCACGTTTCGGATTGATCGGCCAGTGCTGAATCTCAGCCTGATCGGCGAATAAGTTGACATATTTTATACCATCGGTACAAGTCGCGTCGATTTATTGACGGGACGAAGGCTCGCCTTTGGTGACAGCGACAGGTGCAAAGAGCCACGCGATTCTCGCGAAATAATTTGACCGTCTACCGATGACACGCGCGGCGTTCCTCACCGCGTCCATGGCCGTGGCTCGCAGAGCTGGAATAACCGCCACCTGCCTACTCTTCAGCCATCGACCACGATGTCTCGTAAGTATACGTAAATACGCGAAACTTTGTCTCGAGGAGAAACTCGTTCGAAAAAAGAACAGTCGTCGGAAAAGAAACGCAGCGATCCGTTCGCTTCCATTTCCCGCTCATTCCACCTTCGTTTTACTAATTTTCATAATCGTTTTATACAAATTCCGAATATTAAGGATTTTCGTTACCTCGAAAACGCTTTGAACGGAGATTAATCAACGGAAGGCGTGGATGATTAGAAAAATCGAAAGAGAATTCGGCAAACGCAACCGGCTTAATCGACAACGAAGCGCAACGTTTGCGCAATTTAAACGGCTTGGCGATTCGAATCGGCAAACGACACGGATTCGAAGCAGGCGTAAAATGTGACTATCAACCGAGGGGATCAGGGAATAAGGAAGACAAAACGAAACAATCAGGGCTGCGAAACGTCGCGCACACTTGGCAACTTCGGTAAGGTAGAGAGAGAGACAGAGAGAGAGAGAGAGAGAGAGAGAGAGAGAGAGAGGGGGGGGGGGGGGGAGAAGGGGCGGAAGAAAAGGGAAGTGCAAGGACATATGGCGAAGCTTTAATAATTGAAGCTGACACAGACGCAGATGCGAACGTAGCCACACGGTCCGCCCATCAAATATTTAAAGATTATAAAGTACGCACATGTTGCTATGACGTCGTTTATGCGTATCCTCGTAAACATGTGCCACGCGTTTCGCATGCATCGCGATACCGGTAATTCGGGAAAATCGTACGAGACTGTTTTGTAACCTATCGATCGGCAAACGGCACGATACGACTCAAATCAACGGAAGGACCAACGTATGCGAGAAGGGCGAGGAATAAGATTCGTTAGTGTCCGGCTGACAGCGACGAAGGCAACGTCAACGGCAACGGCAACGGCAACGGCAGGTGCGTGTGCGGCTACTTACGACAGTGGGGATACTGACAAATCGCAACGCCCTCGGAAAAGAGAAGATCCTTGCCAAACTTGCCCGACAGGTTACTACCGCGTATACGCGCGCGTGAAACGCCACCGATCGTCTCCCAAGGACTGTCAGCTTCGTAATGCTCGTCTTCCAATTTTTCGCTACGGTATGTTTCTTCCGATTCACGTTCTTTACGACCGCATATTCGTGAAAAAGGTATCGAACTCGAACCGAGGAAATCGCACTTGGTTTCCACTCTTTC